AAAGTTCCTTTACTCTCCTCCAGCATAATACCTTCAATTCTTCAGCTAGATCTCTCCCTGACAGTAGTTCACCTATGTCCTTTTGGTGAATGAAGGTCACAGTCGGATCTTAGATGGAAACTCAACATCCTTCACATAAAAAAGTTCTTAATGGGCTTGTGGTGTATATTTAAATTCACAGACGGTCTCTCGCCCCTGTATTAGGTCCTGCTACGGGGGAAATCATTTCTCGTAAGCAATATTTCACAGTAATTGTAACAAAAGACAAAGCCGACCTTCCTTGGACTATTATACACGCAATGCAGATAGCACAGTTAGCAGGCAGAATACTCTTTCGGTTTTTTTCAGTTTCTGTTTTCAATCTCAGGCGTGGGCTATTGCACGAGTTAAGCTGCGTAGGTCGTTTAAGTAAATCTGTCAGATCAAAGACATCATTATCGAGTTTTCTTAATTCATCAAATCTTCCGCATCTTAATAAATCTTCTACTAAATCTTTGCCATTGCATCTTTATAACGTGTGAATGATAGCATTGCGTGACGCTCCACTTTCAGTCGAATACATCGTAGGATGGTTGCCGTTGGACACCAGACAAGATCGCATTAATATTTACCAAACTATTAATGTGTAGTATATAGATAAAGCGGCATTGGTAAGATATTAATGAAGACAATGTACTCTAGTAGGTATTTCAGCATTGTTATTAGCATTTAGCATTATGATTTTTAAAATCAGAATGACACCACACACGATTGCAATAATTTCCTCTTAATCTAAAGTTAACATTAGCTGTCGTGAAAAGGTGGCGCGTCAGTTTTAATGGTGTTGACAAGCTAACAGTGTCAGCATGACAGCACCAACGTTGGTACGTCATCTGCTGTGACGTCATTAAATATGACGTCACTAATTATTGCAGTATCACGACGACAATAATGACATTAACGTATCACTAGTGGTTTATGACGTGTAACATACCAATAACTGCTGACCAAAATGTACAACATTCGGCCATATTTGACAGATAAGGTCCAAGTCATATGGAATTAAAGACAATAACAATGAAACGCATCGATGTGTCTGTACGTTAACAATGCTGTAGGGTGCTAGGTTCCATGTACTGGTGTATATTGAACCATTACACATGGAGAATAAATACAACCATTATATAAATATGTATAATATTTTTATTACAAATTTTCTTGTTTTATCCTGACTACGTCTTGTGCCACCTCAGTGTCTAACCTCTGTTTAGATCAGGTGTTTGGGTTTTTTTATTTAAGAGGAACATCCTCACTGATTTAATGACGAATCTGTCTTGAGAGCATTTCCTTAACAAACAATGCCCAAGAATGGGAACCCCATATCACTATCAAAGAACCGTTACGAAATGACCAATCGAGAAGACATCTTGATTTGCTTAATGCCTCATATCCTGTCCTAGTGTGAAAGGCGCCAACTGATATTCCGTTCACCTTTGGACAGACCTGCCTCGATTGATATAGTGATTTCACCTCACGCCGCTTTCTGCCGCCGGGCAGCAAGTGCGTCATGTATTATTTACTAATCTCTTCCATTTTCTAGTCACATTAACCCTAAGGCAGGGAAGCAAGTTTTACTTAGTCAATTCCTGTCCCCTCTATTAAGCCTTAGTGCTCAGTCTTAGACGTCCATCACAATTGTCAAATAAATGTAGGCACTGATTAACCATGCGTTTGGTTTGTGGGCAGTATTTCTTGCCTGTTAATGTAACTAATAGGGTCTAATAGTGCCTACTGTGCCATTGACAGCTAAATGGTAGCTATTAGCGGTGCGGAGTTGCGTCCCTTAACCGTGTTGTGATCCGATGATCGCGAGCATGAATCTGAAACTGGCTTTTATTTTTCGATGCTATGATAAGCCTTGTGTTTTCAGGATAGGATTTGCTAACCTCGGGTGTCATCACTGATTGTCAATGACCCATTCACTGACGATGTTGGCCCCCATACTCACTGGCACGCACTTGTACTTACTTTAATGGTTTCGACCGCCTCCGTGGTCTAGTGGTAAAGCGTCCGCCCGGTAGGTTCGAGGTTCGATCCCCGGCCGCATCATACCAAAAGATGTTAAAAGATGGTACTTGTTGTTACCCTGTCTGGCGCTCGGCATTACGGGACTAAAACAAGGATTGGTCGGCTCGGAGTCAGTATACTGTGTCTGAGTGGGGTATTCATGGTAAACTGCGGCATGGTATCTCAGTTGGCTAGCACTTTAAATCAGTCTTGACCAGTACAAGCAGCCACACACACAGACACACACCTGCATGTACGTCGCTATATAAGTGCGACAATCTTGAACGCGACGTTAAACTCCATTTCACCTTACTTCAATGGATCGGAGGGTCATGCTTGTTGACTTGGTTGACACCATGGCGTTGTTTCCTGACGAAGCGGATCATTGCTCATGATCCCGTTCTCTGGATTGTCTGGTTCGCACTCGATTGTTTACGGACCTAAGTCGATCAAG